TTGGAAGTACTAGAGTCATTTGCATCTATGTTATTGCTATGTCATTTGACAGCTGACAGTTCTAGCTTCATTCTAAAAAACAATTCAGTGATTTGGTTGAGTTTTGGAGATTTCACAATAAGTTGAAGATGGAAGACCAAACAGTACATTTTTGCCATATTTTACTGTTTTATTTCCATAAAGGAAAGAATGCGCATCAGGCTTGTGAAAAGTTGCATAAAGTTTATGGTGACAACGCTCTACAAGAATGTAAGTTCCAATGATTGTTCATGAAATTCCATACCCATGTTACATGACATGAGAGATTGCAGAAACATTGAACATCCATCATTCAAGCGTTCACGACCACCCGAAGAAACTGGGATACATAAGCAAGCTTGATATTTGAGTTCTGCATGAACTCAGAGAAGTTCATTTGATGGCACTTATAAACATCTGCAATATGCTTATTAAACATGAGGAAAACGATTCTTTTTGAAGCGACTGATAGCTGGTGATGAGAAGTCGATTGTTTATAACAATGTGGTGCACAAACTGTCTTGGTCCCGACGTGATGATTCACCTCAAACAACATCGAAAGAGACATTCATCAGAGAAACGTGATGCTCTCAGTGTGGTGGGATTTTAAAGGTGTCGTGTTTTTTGAGCTCCTACCAAGAAACCAAACAATGAATTCAAGTGTGTACTGTTGGCAACTGAACAGTTTGAATGAATCCATCATCCAGAAACGTTTAGAGCTTGTTAATTGTAAAGGAGTTTTGTTCCATCGCAACAATGAGAGACCACACACAAGTTTGATCACCTGTCAAAAATTATTGGAGCTTGGATGGGATGCGTTGCCACACCCACCATACTCGCCTGACCTTGTGCCATCAGACTTCCACATGTTTCACTCTCTTCAAAACTCTTTGTGTGGTATAGTGTTCAATTTAGATGAGGCTGTAAATCAGCACCTTGTTCAGTTTTTTGCAAATAAAGACAGGTCCTTCTATGAATGAGGAATTATGAAGTTCACTGAAAGGTGGCAAAAGGTTATCGAACAAAACGGCCCATATATCATTGACTGATCTTTGTTCTTTATATAAATAAATGAACTTTGAAAAACATAGACAAAATATGTCATGACTTTTCCAACAACCCAATACTATTTCTTTAAGGCTTGCTGAAGATAGTGTTTGCATTCCATTAGAAGTTAATGTGCCTCTTCTTAAACACAAAGTGACATATATTTGTGTAATTTTCTCATTCACTGAGAAAAACAGTGAATTATATGAGTTAACAAAAAAGAGAATCAAAAAAGCAGGATGGGAATTTATCCAGGCGATTGCTGATCACATTAAAAGAAACTGTAATCTGAATATGTACTTTATTTCTTAAAAACATCCTATACTGTAATTATAATTCCTAGTTTTTTTAAAAAAAATCAGTGTAACTCAGTAGACACACATTTATATGCACACACACATTTGAAACAAATTTTTTATGAAACAATTTCCTTATATACTCTAATACTTTCTATTCTAGTTAATTTAATTTTAAACATGTTTATCTGGATTCACTAAATTAATTTTATGACCTGCTAATGAGTTGTAATCTGCTGTAGAAAATATTGCTTTAATCTATATCTTTAAAAATGTGAGGAGCTGACTTTTATCTTAATAAGTATAGAGGTGTTAAAAATATAATTCTCATACAAACAGATAGTGAATTTGTGTCAAAATTTTATTTAACATATTAATGAGGATACCAGGAAGAAAACATAAGACTGAGTTATTTGAAGAGTATTTCAGGGATATCTATCTATCTATCTATCTATCTATCTATCTATCTATCTATCTATATAATTTCTGTAAATAAGTTTGTAAGTTAAATAGTAATATAAGCCTGGTTAACTTAGTACAGAACAATTAAGCTTTGAGGGTTAACATCTCTACCAAATTATAAAATTATAACAATTTATCAATTCCTGCAGTTTAACCTACGGAAAGAGCCAGCTATAGCTCTATCAGCAGACAGACAACCTATCAGTTATTTTAACAAAATATTTGTATACAGCAATACTAACTAAATATAGTTATTAATTAAGTTCACGCCAGGCTAAAAGATAGTGTCATCATAGTATAACAGAGAGCAACTTCAGGAAATAACTTCCACCCCAACCATCTGTAGGACTAAGGGACTAAATAAAGATGTTGGAGTCATTGAAATCAAAAGCTTGGAGGAGGAGTTTGTGGAGGTGAACCTCAGATTTTCCTGGTGCTGGAGTCTCTGAGGGGGACAGGATGGGATCAAATGTTGGAAACGCTGCAAATATCGGAAAGACTACTAACTGGAATCACCTGCTATTATGGGAAGACACCGCCACAGCCAGAATGAAGTGGTAACTTCCTGGAGAGGAAAAAGCAGAGAGGAAACCCACCATGGGAGCTATTCCTTTTATCTCCGGTAGCCTCGCGGTCACCCTCCAGTGTTCCCCACTAGCAAAGTCTAGCACAGAGCAGCATGTCAAACAGGAAGTAGAACTTGCAAAGCCCCAGCTGAGCATCATAAAGCCAACTAGAGAAGTGTGGTTGGAACCTAGGGACAATAGCTTAAACTGCCACAACCTCTAACCTTACAGGGAAGTGAAATGCATGCAATTTTATCATCCGAGGACTGTTAAGCAAGAGTGCCAGTTTGGATCTAGTGGGTTATGAGAAACGCTTTTGCATGATATCAAGAGTGAAGCAATTGTCATTTTCCTGTTTCTAAGCTCGGGACATGTTTTTTTATCAGAAATTTGTGATTTCATTAAAATCTGCAAAGAGGATCAAACATAATATAATTTTAATATTTTTTGGCTTTTCCTATTAAAGGGGTTTCTGTAGACCATTATTCAGGGCTATTACTCTAAAATTAGACACATATTTGGCTTTTAGCTTGAAATCAATAACCTTACATATTTTGAACACAAAAAGTGTGCCTGGTTTTATGAGTCTAGAGTTCTTTTGTCCAGATTTTATAGACTTGATAGAAATAATCTGTGGGAAATTATGATTCGATCTTAAAATTTTAAATGAAAGTCATTTATACCCATAAAGATTTCATTTGTATATAAAGATGTTTTTTAAAGTAAAAAACTATATATGTTTACACTTATTGGTACACAAAATAGATCATACTATACATTCTTGCCCCTTAACCTTTTCACTTAATATCATACCTTGGCATATTACAACAGATAGTACTCTCCAATCTTTGTAGTATCTGCTTTCAAATGTATAATTATACACCATACATTTTAAATTTCTCGGTTGATAGGAATTTAAGGTGTTTTTTTTTTAACTCTGTTATAGTGATAGACAGAGAGACAAAACAAACATTGGAAAAAATATATGACGTTATGAAAAAATATTTATGATTTTATATACAAAGTATATACATACACTTTGTATATAAAATCATATATATATTTATATTTATAAAACTATCAGTTAAATACTAACAATCATTATTGTGTTTAATGTTTATTGATAATTGACTCAGCAGTTGACTTAAAACAGCATGAAAGGGAACAAAATACAGTCCTGTACGTGTCATCTCCTTTCTAAAGCATTTTTATAATCAGTGCTTCTCTTTGTCACATCCAGATCCCACACCACGTGAAGCCTTTGCCATATTATAGCTACGACGCGCCGGTGATCGGGTACTGCCAGGCTCACCAGCCACTCCACATCAACAAGGGCTACGACGCGGTGTCCCCGGAGCAGGACGAAACCCCCAGCCTGGAGCTCGGGCGCGACCACAGTTTCATCGCCACCATTGCCAGGTCCGCGGCCCCGGCCATTTACCTTGAGAGATTAACAAACTAACGTGGAAACAACTCTTCATCTGGGACTCAACGTGGGGGGAGGGAGGGCCTTCATCTTAAAGGAGAATGGGTGTCCAAAATCGCGCAGTCAAGCCGGTTCATCGTTCCTGTTAAAACATTTATGACATAGAGGAAAGTGAAAAACAGCCGTTTAAAGAGCGCAGATCACCTGCAGCATAACCGGGAGAAATACAGACCTTTCTTTGTTTTCAAGCATACAACAAAGAAACACAAATGCTCCTGGATGTAAATAGTAAAAGTGTCGAGTTCTTATAAAAATAGATTTCACCCTAGCTATACATAGGTTTGTTTGTATATTTGCTTTTTCTACACTGCATGGTTGTTGGGCTGGAGAACCAGAGGGCGGGAAAAACCTGGGGTGGGTGGGAAGGTGGGGAAACAATACAGTTTTCCTTGTTAGGTGTGTGTAACTTTCAGACTTGTTTTCAATCTCTTTATTTCATTTTTCCGTTAAAAATGCTGTTCTTGTTTGGTTTGTTTTATTTCTATATTTTTTCCTGGTCAAGTGATTCTGTTTCCAGTTCTAAACACGGGCATTGGAGTTTATTTTGTACCAAAAGAAAATTGGCTTCACCACAGACCACAAAGAAACAAAGTGGACCACAGAGTTCGACAGAATTACTGGAATGAAAATCCAACAGAATCTGGGTGAACGATCCTTCCAGACACACGAGGTACACAACGTGAGGAATTTTGATTTGTATTCCTATTGGCCGTCCTCGCTTTGCATTCTCACTGCGGAAGAAGCCTGAAAAGGGACCTGTAAAGAACTCCAATTGAAATGACCACCAGAAACACTCTCCCTTGGACTGGAGGTGCACGAAGAACTGTGGTCATGTGGTCGGTGAAGGAAACTGCCAAGCTGACAACTTTCTAAACACAAGAGTATGTGTAACATTGCTTTTTAAATTATCATTTAGCTCTTGTGTAATTTTTGTCAATAAAAGAAAAAATGTTGGAAAAAAATAAATATATTATTTTGTGGTTGGTAAACCACAGCCCACCTAACATTGAGTACTTTATGTCTATATTGTGAAATCCTTCTAACCTGCATCAGGGCAATCCAATAAGGATGAGTTGGTATCTACCAAGTGCATTCTGTGTGTGCAGGAAGGGAGGCCCTACAAGGTGCAGAAAAGAAGTACGAGATGTGGCTCATGCACTAACTTGTTTTGCAGTTACGTATTTTTTAAGACATAGGAGGTCATTCAAAATTATATAACAATATGAGAAAAGAAGTAAGTATTTATGGAAGGGTTAGAGGTAGCACAACATTCTAGAAGAAAAAAGAACTGTGTGGAAATTAATTGCTATCTGAAACAATCATAGTCATCATCATTTTTTTTTAACCAAGAGATAACTGTGCACACATCAGTTGAGCCATTTTCTCTTGACTTTCTCAGTACTGTGATGCTATATCTCGGCAATTCTCTGAATCAGTATGAGCATTATCCTAATCTAGCCACTGGTCTAATTTGCCTAGTTCTAGTTTTAAAACAACATGACATTATAAAATTATGTCATCCTTTGTTAGGTCAGGTTTAGCATTCTGAAAGGTGTTAATATACATTGGTGTTAGGAGGTTTTCTGAAGAACTAAATTGATAGCTACCCTTCATTTAATTCCAAATTCTACTGAAATAGTAATAAAAGAACCTTGTGAATACTTTTGCATCAAAGTAAACTAGCAGAGAGAACTGAGCATGTTTATTTTTCTCAAAGTCATTGTATTTTACTACTATTTTAAATTATACTTGAAGTTAAACTCCATTTTAATTGATAAAAATATTATGCCATGTTAAAGAAAATTCTATCAAGGGAGTTTTGCACAGTGTATCATAGGACTATTGCTGTCAAACTCTGGTAAATTTCCTATTAACATTTGCAATCTGGATTACTTTATATCTGAGTATGTGTGCTAACCTTTAAGTAGAATGAATTGATTATGAATTCAAAAGTTAATTTCTTGGCACTGTGATTTTTCCTTTAAGAATCATTGAATTGAGTTGTAGCAGAACATTTTGGAGTGTCTACCCAAATTACAAAGATGCTCTCAATGCCTTCCATCTTCTTCATCTATCCAACATCACCATGTATCCCATCCACCTCCCCACTCTTGCCTGAGGTGATATACTAGAAGCCAAACCTGAAAAAACTTGCTCAAAGTTGGCTTAAGTCAACTATTTACTCTGTTTATTTCTGTTTCTTATAAGCAAATGAGTCCTAAATTGATAACATTTTTCATGTTATTTAAAATTGCCATAGTTGGCCAACAGTTGCCTCAGGTCTAACATGACACAGTGAACTGCTAGCAAAATCAGTAACATTATAAAAATGCTGTGCCCTTTGAATATGAAAATTTTCAAAGAACTTTTAAAAATATATCATTTACATATGCCAGAACAGATTTACACTGAGCTTTGGAAATCTATTGATGATTCAACAAAAAACAAAACAAACAGGAAAACAACCCCCCCAAACACCATTGCTTTAGTGGGCTTGGAAAAGTCCATAATTGGAAAATTTAGGCTTGATGTTGTGTGAGGGGTCGGGTAGGTTTTCAGAGAAAACAGCATCTTGAAAAAAAAAAAGTGGTATTTCAACAGAGGACTTAAGAACCAAATATTGGGTTATTGAACCCCTACACCCAGAAGTCAATCATGCCTATGCTGACAGCCTGATATAACCAAGGAGAATGCAAGACTTCTGTTAGTCCCCACTCAGGCTAAATTATTTATTGTCTGGGGCCCTCAACAAGAAGGAGCAAATTTGTCTATGCAGGTCACTTCATCACCACTTCTGGGCCATTCACGTGCTTTTTGCTATGCAAACTGATTGCCCCAGGGTCCCACTTGTTCCTCAACATGAAGAAGTATTTGTAATTTTGAATTGTGACCCTATCAAAATGTGCCATTGAGTGGGGCAAATGGCATACATGATATCTTACTTGTGTAAAGAGGAAGGAATATATCACACCTCTCCAGGCATTTTGAATTTTTGTTTACTCTGGGTCTAAGGTAAAGGTTTTTCAGTGTCTTCTAAAAGTCAGGAATTATTTTCATTCTACTTATTTTTTATGTTGAAATGTTAACGAGGCCTCTCAGAAAACTAGTTATGGTTCATTTCAAGGCTATCCTAATTAATAATTTGATTTTATGCTACAATTTTTATTGAGCCTCTGAAGGCTATTTGGGTTGGGGAGTATCATGGAGTATTTATAGAGCAAAGATATGAAAACTATGCCTAAAAGGAATTGTGAATGTGTAACATACAGATTCGAACAGTCAAATATTCAAACATTCTGATTAATTTTTTTCATAAACATCCTTAGTAATGCTGTTTTCTTTTACTTATTGTATCATGCAATAAGGAAGTATCTAAAATCAGAAGCTTGATTGATCTAGGTATAAATGTAACTGTGGTTTAAATTTTCATCCTGTTGTAGCTCTACTTACAATATTTTATGCATGACCTTCTGAGATTAAGGATATAAATAATATCATCACTTGCAGAATGCCAAAAACCCAAGTACTTTATAAAATCAAAAGTAGACTAAGTTATAATATCTCAAATAATTTTACTCAATAATAAGAGTAAAATAAGAGAGAGGGGAAGGAGGCTTCTCGGAGGATACCCTGGCATCTGTTATTACTCTTTATTCCACACTTATATCAGTAGCTTGAGAGCAGATATGGCAGATCTATACTACAAAGTGACCCATGTCATGAAACTGAGAAAGGGGAGAAAATGTAATTGCACAATCTGTAAATCTTTGCATTTTATGGCCAATCAATACATGTGAATTGAATTTGAGAATTTGGGTTGACTGCTTATCACTATCTCTCAATAGTATAATATAACACGATCACCAAAGAAAACAAATCGTAGAAATGTCCAAACTAAGGAACACTAGTGTTCAAATCTAAGCTAGACTGGTCAAGCCACACCTGGACTTCAGTATCAGTGTCACACTTCCACGGGGACATCTACAAAAACAGCAACCAGAATATTGAAAGTTATGCAATCAGCAGCATACATCCTTGCTTAATGAAGAATTGAAAGAAGAATTGTTCATTAGGTGAAGCTTTTATAGCATTACAGATAATCAATCAGTGAAGAGAAGCAGATGCACTCTGCTCTACAGGCCCACAACAGCCACAAATGTTGGTAATTGATTATTTAACTGAGGAATCCAAGGCTCTTGTGGCAATAGCCTGTCTGGGTCCTTGTCAAGCTCCTTATCACTGTACCTTTCTAACTTCTGAAGCCTCATGGCCTCCCATGAAGGCATACTTGCCATACCTCATGTTGTATAACCTTTAACTGCCTTTCACTCAGAAGCGCATAACCAGTTCAAGTTCAGGAACTCAGGTTAACTATCACTGAAACTACATTTTAATTTCTCTCAGTTCAAGTGTACACACCTGAAGAGATATGACTCAGGATTGTTCCAATAATAATTCTGTAACTGCCTCCTCTTCTGTTCCCTGGAGATCTGAGCTCCTCCTGCCTCGCTGCATCGCTAGGATCCTGGTTCCTCCAAGGCTGAACACCATCTTCCTCGTGTGCATATTATCAGGCACCCGATTTCTGCTCATGAAGACCAGTCATTTGTCACTAAACATTCTCTGCTCATCTCTAAATGACTCTCTGTTTCTCAAACACCAAGTGTGCTAGGCCAGCCTTGCTTCCACTTGTAGTACCTTTGTACAAGAGCTCTGTTCTCCTGAGATGTTGCTCTGCTAGCTAGCTACTCAATTTCCCATCTTCTACCGTTGAGCTTGCATTATTCCAAAAGTACAATCCAGTCCCCAATCTACACAGTGAGATCTGAGTTTCTATTCTGATTCTAATATACAAGATCAGTGGTGTGGACTTTAGGCTCTCAAATGTTAGCATGTATGACACTTACCTAAAAGACTTTTTAAAACATGTGTGGGGGCCAACTCCAGGATGTCTGATGTAATATGTGTGGGGTGGGGTCTGCGAGTGTTTGTTTCTAATAAGTCACCAGGTGATGCTGACGCTGCAGGTACGTGGACCACATTTTGAGGACCATTGTCATGTAACATAGCTATTTATATCCCTGTGGGTTGGTGACTCTGCATGGAATTCAAAGTTTGTATCTTATACTGACTTATGATTTAATGTTAAATGAAGCTTTAAAATAAGAATTGGTTCAAGACAAATAGAAGAATAGATTCAGGACAATCGTGCAATATGAGAGGCCCATGACTTTATGTAGAGTATTTTCTAAAATTTGCTTTGTAACACTAAGAGAACACGTTTTCTGTGAAAGAAAAGAAACAAAAAATAAACACCAGTCGTAATAACACCAACAAAAGTTTCTATGATCAAATTAAATTTGTAAAATGTTGCATATGACATACTCCTTTGGAAATTCATGAAGCACTTTAACACTTAAAGGATATCACAAATATTATAGTCAAGGAATCTATTCAACTTTGTTTAACCCTGGGTTTTCTAAATATGTTCAAACATAATAACCTTCCTCAATTTACTACCTAACAAGATCCTGCAGAATTAATGTTCTATAGAACTCACTTGGGACATGTTGATTTAAAGAATGCTCTTCATTCAACCATCAAAAACAGCATCTACCTTTGCAAATAGCTATTTTCATATTTGCAAAAGACATAATGTATGCTTATCTCTGAGATGCATAGAGGCTTTTTTTTAAACAAGGACTCAATATATTTTAATCTTTCTAATAATAAAGCAAATGTCAAATTTATCTGGATTAAATAAGAGTGAACAATTAAAATTATAATAACCTGATATCAAGAATGGAAAGTTCATGTCTCCATATAAGACATTTCTTTTCCCTTGGAGGAGATTAGGCCCATTGTTTCTATAACATAGGGTATTGCAAAATCATAACAAATCACCAAAGAGCACCCAGCAATATGGATAGCCTTTATTATCTGAGTTGA